CATCTTCCAATAGCATATTAATATCGAGACACGCATGAAACTATTTGAATTATTATATTTCTCAGGAATTAATTTGCATTGCAGAGAGTGTATCTGCAGTGGTTCCTTTACAATTTGGATAAAACAAGTTTTTATCAGTCCTTGCCAAAAGGATGCAAAATACTGCAGATTTTCCATGAGATAATAATACTGACCATGGCTATCAAATTTGTGCTTGAGCTTTAATTTGTTTTGGTTGGATACTTAACCAGGTGTGGTATAATTTTGGAGGAAACCAGGCTCTGAGTCGCTAGAATTTGAAAATACACAACCGGAAAAAATCTGCCACTTCCTTACAGAACCCCTCCTCCAACACACACGAACGCTCACATGACCAATGAGGGCACGAGATAAGTTTGTGCACAGATGGAAGGCTGACAGGCAGGTAGGCCATCCAGTTATTTTAGCTGGGCCGGCTAAAATTATTGGTCGTGCTTTTTACAGCACTACGGCTTCCACAGATGACATTTTTTTATGGATTTTTTTGTCATAGCACTTAAGATATTCATTGCTATCGGGATGTTAAGAGCATTCCATGGAATATAAGAAAAAGTGTATCTCGAGCCGGTTTCTCAAACTTACCTACCCCACCTTTAAATATTTGCCAACTTTGCAATGTTAAATGAAGTGTTTACTAATTGGAATTTTATGCATCACTAAAAAAGAGTTTCAAAGCACAGACCAGTTCCTGTGTTTCAAATTGGTTTTAATAATTTAATTATCTGCATATTTTTGCATTATACAAGCAAAATGTCCACGGGGCACAGAGACTGGTAGGGTGGAGTGGAGGGTCCCAACCAGAAACCAAAACTAAATTTGGAACTATAAATAAAAACAATATCTATCAAGAAAAACTCAAGTTGAAAGGATATAACCGTTTAGAAATATAATATAGGAGAATAAAACACTTTTATGACACTGAACCACAGAAACAGATTAGATGATACACCATGAATCTCTTTTGTGTCACATGCAGTCTAGTCTTGTAGAACTGAAACGTTGACTTAAATTAAATGTATTTTGTCAACAGATTTCACTCAACTGTATTAGGTTAGTTGAAAGCAATAATATTCATTTTAAATAAAACATATTGGGTTCAACTTAATATTATTGCTTTCAACTAACCTAATAATTATGACATAATACATTCAAGTAAACGTATATATTTTTTCAGTGTAGAATGAAATAACAAGAGCATGATTTAAATATTGTCAAAGATCAAATCTAATGTTTAATTGAGGCCATTTCCTTCTGAGTACGGTAATAAAAGACAACCCAAATTGATAACTAAAAGAGAGAGAATAGACCCAAATGTCCCACTCTGTGCTCCTATCTTCTCCACACTTATGTCACACCCTGCAGTTTGACAGTTGAATCACTGTGATTAGATAAACCGTTATTAAAGCGGAGCAACAATCTGAAGTGAACACTGTGACGGTTTATTATAATGTCACACAGGCAGCAAGATAAAAATGGCCATCACTGCCTCCCTGCATGCTGCGTCCACACTGTATCCTTCACACAGTGGCTGCTCCACCACATCAGTCCCCCCCCCCCCAATCCCCATTCCAGATGTAAAGCTGTTGCCCTCCTCTGGACATTTCATGTCGAAGGACTATTGCGTGTAAAAATCGAAAGAGAAACGCAATACTCTCCCGCGTTGTGGCGCAAATGAGATTAAGAGCGGTAAGGGTTGAGGAGGTGGGGGGATGGGGGGACATGAGAGTCTGATGTTGCTCTGGCGGTGGGAGGATGGGGGAGGCTCATGCAAGTGGACCACAAACCCCCCATTGGCAGACCTAATTACATTTGCCCTTTTCCACACTCACATTAAGCCTCCATCGAGCCGGAAGGATTATGCGCACCAGAGGAGATCGACCCCAGGAAGAAGATCAACCGCCCCCCCCCCTTTTTTTCCCCATCCTTCCCTGCAATTCACATTTTCTTCGTTCAATTACTTTTCAACCACAAGACACTCAATTTATAACTTCCTTTTTTAATCTGGTTCAGATTCAAAGCCACAATCTGTGACTGCGTCTTAAAGTCTTAGACGATATTAAGGTGCTTTGGGATAAAAAATCTGTTGTTGCATTGTTTTATGGGACCTAAGCCAAGGCATGTGACACTGTAGATCACACATTATGTCTAATGTTATGTTGATGTCTCGTTCTCGGTCATAATGCCATTTGCTGGTTATCAGTGTGATCTTAACGGGACCATACTCAATGCGGTTGGGGGGGGGTAGCCCTGTCTCTGACCCTTTCACCTTGGAGAAGAGTTCCAACAGGGCCTATTTTGGGGCCTTCTCTTTTTATTATATGTAACAATATTTGTAATTCAGATGCAATTTCTACCTATTCATATGTAATGCTGATAACACTATTGTCTATCATGTGCTCCTTTCTCTGGATACTGTGCCGTTTCCAATTTAAAACTGATTTTATCACGCTCAGCATGCACTTTGATCCAAAACTGCTATTAGAACAGTAGAAAACCAACCAGCAATGCTTGGTTGCTCCCAAGTAGCCTGCCTCCTTGCCTCTCCAGACACCCTGATGGCGTCTCTGTTGAGTTTGTCGATATCCTACAAATATCTTGCTTGTTGGTTGGACAGTAATCTGAACTTAAACACCATATTGAAGATCTAACAAGAAATTGAAAATTCACTCCTTGGCTTCCTTTGCAGACTTAAATGTTGATTTTTCAAGCTATCCCGTAAAAGCGTTGGTGTCTGGCTAGTCTTGCTCCCAGCTGTACTAACGTGATACCTTTAGGTATATTTGCCCTGTTCCCAATTTTGGCCAAACTTGAACTCCACTCTACAATGCTGCACTGCGTTATATTATCCAAATGCACCCTTTAGACTCAATCATTGCAAAACTGTATTAGGCCTGTAACTATAATAGGGATGGTCCTCGCACGTTACTAGCATAGATGCAGCGATTGCTTTTTTATTACATGTATAAAGCCATTTTGGTAGTTCCACTGTACATATGTGCAGTTTGCTCCAGTTGTGGCCTTACAGACTAGTCAGTGCCTGGATACGGTTCAGTTCTGCTGTTGCGGCTGAGGCTGGGAAAGGAATCTTTTTTTGATGCTCCTTGGTTCTTGGAATGAACTTCAATCACGCCTCAAACTGACGGCCACATGGTCTCGATAGCATGTTTTTAATTGAAAACTGTCAGAAGTCCTTACACCCAGTCTGCTCTTGCAGTAATAAGTATGTGCCTTTTCTTACTTCCTATGTGCCAAAGTAGTGACTCTTATCGTCTTTTGTTTCTTAGTTATAGTTTCTCTGATTTTACTATGTTTGTTTATGTGTAACGTGCTGCCTTCTTGGCCAGTCGAGCATTGCGAAATGAGATGTATATCGTCTCAATGCTTTTATCTGGTTAATAAAGGTTAAGTTAAAAATTAAAATTTGAAATAGATGTTCTCTTTGTGCCATTTAGGTTGTGTCATTAAGCAAGCTTAAGGGAGACAACATGTGAATAGGTCTACAAATACACTAATAATAAATAAATAAATGTCGAATAGATATCAGCATGACATTCCCCAGTTCATCACTTAATTAAACAATATTTGTTTTATTACAGGTTCCTGGAAATCTATGTTAAATATCAAATGAGGCCCTTATCTAAATTATAAATCAAAATAACCATCAAAAAAGAAATTAACCATGTTTGACTTGTTAAAACATAAAATTAGGCTGTGAATGATAAAAACTGTTAAGCTTTCAGAATATAGATAGGAAGAAAAGGAGAGTTCTGGCTTCTGAGGGGGAAAATGGCCTATAAACTATACTGATTTTAATCCCATACATTAGAACTAGGTGAAGAGTGGAAGGACATATATTATTTCGTATATATTTCCTTAATCTTTCATAAACAAATGCGTTTTCTGCCCGCCATGTCTTCACACTATGCACCCCATGACTCCTCTGTCTCCCCTCACACCACCTTCCCCCCCCCCCCCCCCTCCTCCCGACCTAATCCACACACCCCTCCGCCCCCGCCACTGACACCTACCCTGAACTGCTCTATTGTGCCGCTTCTCGCCCGCTCGCCCCTGCTCGTTGCCTGTTGCGTCTCCCTGATAAAGACGAGCTACCTCTCTCTACATGTTGTCTCTTGTGACCTTGACACAGGTCCTCACGACTATGGTGCCTTCCAACTTCCACTCAGGCAATCCACCGCACGCCAGCATTTGTCCTTC